ATTTCTGGGCTGAGATATACTTATAGTAAGTTTTACTTGTATTTTCAATACCTCTTTAAACAGACTCTAAATTACTTTATAGTATTATCTATCATAACCTCCCTCATGTCATGGGTATTAGTATTCACATTATCTAATAAGGACCTATAAAATTATTTTACTCAATTTGTAAACATTTTCGCCGGTATCGAACCATCTGTTATTGTGAGTACAATGCCAGTTATGGAGAAAGAGCAATACTTTGCTATATCAACAAATACCGCCGAGACGATAATAACAGAGAAGATCCTTATATGCGACAGGGTGTAGTTCGCAACCATGCTAGTTATCCGTATTATTGTCTTGGCTATATCTCTCTCCGGGGCAGGCTTTCGAGCCGTAACGCTCGTGCCAGATGTTTTGGGAACACTATCCATCATCACGCTGGATAATCGATGCGAGAAGGATTTACAGAAGGCGTCGATGCTCGATGGTCTTGAGCGATCTCGTCTACTCAAAAATGTAAGCATCAAGCTGGGAAATGCAAAGCAGGATGGCCCTTATGGCCGTATTGGCTTCGCAGCACTAGCAAATGATGAAAATATAGTTCAACTACAGGAAAATAGGATATACGAGTAGATAATTCTTGATTAACTTATTTAGACGCATTTCATTACCAAGATCATTAGAGCGGAAAGAATTTAGATATTATGACAGACTTGACAGAAATGAAACGATTAATTTAGTAGATAAATTACTTAGTTTTAGTCTTTTACTTAACCTGTTAGCGAGGTATTAGTTATTATAAGAGTTGTATTTCTGGCCTTAAGAGTTTAGATCTGATATTCTAGATTAGAGTTCAGCTATTTAATAGAATATTCCCTAGACAGGTTTAGACGACTCGACCATAGCTTTGCCGCTTGCAAGCGCTCTTCTTAGAACTGTGTATATACCAATTGATCTGCAGCCTCTAAGTAATACTGCATACCTGTAGAAGTCTTCCGAATCAACAGAAAAGCGTCACTATTGCTTTCCCGAATATCATATGATAAACCTGGCGGCGTTACGACGGGCGGAAAACATACTGGTTGATATGACGCGGCGGCCAGTCTCCAACAACCAATGTTGCGGAATGGAACGTGTTGAATTTATCCGAGCTCATTCCGAGAGAGAAGAAACCACGGGTTCCTCATTGGAGATTTGAAATAGTTAACACTGGTCTGGTACAGGACCGTCTCTTCATACGTTATGAGCTGTTGTCGACGTTAGCGTGTTCAGCGTCTCACGGTGCCAATTGGTAGCTTAGATCAGTTGGAACGAGTGATAGCAACAGCTATCTGTTGCTCATTTACTTACTTGCTATACACAAAACTACATTGTGGCATCCTGAGACTTGGGATACTAGCGCCGCAAATCGATATAAGATCAGCTGCGTCTTGGAAGATAGGGTGCCAGACTATTCTCAACTCGCTCGAGGCGCTGAGCGAGGATGCTCCTGATGCCGTTAGCTTAGATTCTGTTTCGAAGAGGTCGGAAACGGAGACATTGGCCTTGCAAAGCTCATTTCGAACAGTAACGCATTTCTCGGCATATCCAAATGGGCGATCAAGGTCTGAATGGAGGCATCAAAAAGATCATAGTAGATTCTTTACATGGTCTGGGACGTCTTTGTCGTTATAATCATTATCATCGATATGTCAGTATCTTGGCCTCAAGGTTTGATGTTACCTATCATGAGTAAGCCTTGCGCTTCTGATTTCCAAGATGCTCTTTTGATCCCTTGACGGGTCTTCTTTTGCGTCCTTTCCATTATTCTCTTTTCCACCCGAACGCGGTTGCCTCTCTCTTAGCATCGACCATCTAGGACTCCTGATCAGCCAGAACATACGCACAAGCGCATCTCCATCGCCTCGATCTTTTCTTCACCGCCAGTGCGTGGTATGTAAGACTTCAATCTCTTGGACCACATCGAGCTGACATTCCACCTTCCGAGATTACACCGGCCATCAACTTATCACCTCTGTGGTGTATCCTTCCCGGCAACCCCGCCGATATCAGTACACGCGTCAGCCGCCATCACAGGCCTCGGGACCAGACAACGACATTATCTTATCATTTGGCCTCAGATCGCGTGGGAAAGTCAAGGCTGACTACCCACATACATCAGATCGACTTTAGCTGTTATGGCAGAGAATACTATCGCAGCATACTCGCAGCGCCACTTCACAGTACTAACATCTTTCAGCTACTTCAACTCCCCCTTCGACACATCAACATGCCTAGCTCTCATTCGCAGCAGCCAAGTGGTGACTTCAAACGGCAGCTCGACCAGGCTCTCGGCTTAACTAACAATCATCTGAGCGAATTAACCGACCGCCTAGATCTAGACTCTGAATTCGATGCTGACACAGATCAACAGCAGCCGCAAAGCAAAAAATACCATGAGCTTGGCCATCTTGCCCGCCAATTCTCCAACGTTCTCAGACTGATCCAAGACCTAGATAAGGATCTCTGTGAGAACATTATCCTTTGGATGGATTGCTTTAGTATTGATCCTGTGTTCATTCACCAGCTTACGCATCTGGGCGAGTGTACAGAAGAGTGCTCCTGTCCCCCGAAGCAATGGGATATTCAAGAAGTCCGCTTGTGGCTTCGAAATGCCTTGTCTGAGTTTTACGAGGTATCTCTATCCAGCGAGGTTCGTGAAGCTGCTCAGCAGAAATTCATGGCCCATTATCTACGTGGAGTCGTTGATATCGATACCTCTGTTGCCGGTGGACTTCAGGAAGGGTCCCAAGAACTTTAACATCTCGATGGTTGTATTTGTGAGCTTGAGGATACTAGCGTCCAACCTGAACCAATTTATGCAGACGCTATTGTGTACTCACCCGAATCTTACACTTCAGGTACCACAGTGGCTGAGCTTCCTGCTGATGGGTTTCGTTCAGAGACCACACTGAGTCACCGGATCTTGAGGGGCCAGGGTTGCCTAAGTTGACCAGCCGCCGTCCAAGATTTACCATCGATTAAGGTGGCCATGACAGAACGCCAATTGATGCTGTTCAGTAAAGGTATTGCTGTAAGCCGCCAGGCGGCTAGGTTGAAGTCTAGGAAGTAGTTCTGTAGTCTAGGTTCATAGATTGAGCTTACTGTTTCTAACTTAGGGCGAAGTTGGACAGCGTTGTGCTTCTAGTTAAGTTAAGTTAGATTTAGATAAGGAGGCAATCAAAAGAGTCTACAACTCATATGCAGGAACGTGAACTGACGTCAGTCTTTGTGAAATGTAGCATCAATCGAACAATAAGGCCAACATTTAGCTTTTAGCTATGAGAAGATTACGCCTGGTGGCCTGCTATTGCTGGGCTATTCCGTATTCTCCATATATAGAGGACGGAGACGATGCAGTGGGGAATACAAGAGAAACATTTCGCACTCCCATATTTGCTGCCCGTTCCCAGTATATGAAGCCTTAGCTGAAACTCCGAGGACCCCGGCAGCGATGGGAAGGTTCTGAACCTTGTGTACCCATCCATGTACCCGCTGGCATACGGCAAATCTCGTGCGCTAAACGGCAGACGTATTGGACCTGCAGAAGCCCTGGAAAACTGTGGCCAAGGCCGTATTGTCGAGAAGCCGAGCGACAGTCGATCCGTGGCGGGCTTTGGCCCTGCACATCAACGAACTTCCAATGGCTTCCTTGCGACGTATCGGTTGATGGTGGCCGTGTCAAGATCGCAAGGTATATCAATAACCTACATCCATGGAGCATGCGGCTCTATACCCGATCATTGAGAAGGTTATCGAAATGGCCTTGCCTGCGTAGTACATTGCCTATCGCTGACTTAGAGGGTTCCCCATGCAGCGCCTGACGACCGAAGAGGCTAGGTTGAGATGCAGAAGTCGACGGACTTGCGCGAAGTCTGAACATGCATGTACGGCTTTTACGCGACCAACTCGGGATAATGAACCTCACAGGGGTCAGTACGACGAGGACTATAGTGACTTGGCGATATCAGACTCGTAAGATGAGTCATCTTCGAAAGACTCTTACGAATGGAAGGAACCTGGAAGGACTCTGAACGCTACGCTCCAGCGGTTTCCAAAGAAGACGGGGCAATGACGGAGAATATGAGACGGAAGAGTATGGCAGCAGCGAAGAGAGAGACACGCCAGATAGCGAGTGAGAAGCTGAGGATGAGGACATCGAAGAGCAGGAGTGTGATCCGAACCACGTCTCAGAGAAGGAAGTCAAACGTCGCGACTTGCCATGGTTCTACAAGACCCAACCCGTTATCGCGCCTGAGCCAAGCCCCCAACCTGAGCTATATTTCTGTGCCGAAGATGTCAAGTCGATAGGACTTTCCACAGCATCCTTCCAGGGACCGGGCCTAAAAGACTCCAGGTCATCGTCAAGCCCGCCAACATCCACCTCACCCCAGAGAATCCCAACTATCCAGGCGGCTCGTGGCATACAGAAGGCCAGATCAATGAGCACATACGCTCCACTGCGCTCTTCTACTACGACAACGAGAACATCACTGATAGCTACATTGACTTCCGGACCGTAGCGAATGCAGTAAAGCTGGATGGTGGACTCTTGTCCCATGAGCAGAATGATTGGAAGACTATCCAACGCATATTCGGCATGCCAAGGAGTCATCATTTAAGT